CATCCAAAACTTGTTGGGCATAGGCTCTAATTTAATTGTTTAGAGCCTTGGCTCTATATAAACTTTTTCTTTTAAGAATTTATAATAAAATTTAGAGATGCATCTTAATTGGATTGCTTAAGGTTGCAACCTAATACAAACCACACCCAAAGATCTCTTTGTTTAAGATTGTTTAAGGTCTTTGTGTAGACAATCCCTTATTGGATTGCTTGAGGTTGCAACCTAATACAAACCACACCCAAAGATCTTTTTGTTTAAAATTGTTTAAGGTCTTTCTATAGACAATCCCTTATTTTGATATGGCGAAAATGCTTTAACCAATGAGGCGAACCCGTGTCTGATTTTAAGTGTTGGAGGTGGTTTTGATTAGAAACTATGGTATCACAGAGTTCAATTCTAGACACTACTATATTTCAGCTGAATTAGTCGTTTTCATTTGGTGGCAATCGCTCAAGTCTTCTCTTAATTTTTATTTATTTATTTAGTTTTTTATTTTTGTCATTTTTTTACTACTTTTTGTGGGGCATAGCTCACCAGCTTAATCTTTTTATAAACAAAAATAGAAATCAAATGACCTCGTTCTCTTTCATGGTATGTGACATTTTTACTACGTCTATTAATTGAATATTAAGTTGGCATCATATTTTTTCTGAAGTCACTTGCAGTTATGACATCGTCCCCTTCTTCCCTATCGAAAATAGAAAAATTAATTGCTCAAAAACGTTAATTGTTTAAACCGATGCTACTCGACGACAAAAGAAAACAAAAAAAGTAAATTATAGATACCCTAAAATCAAATTTTTACGGCTTCTATCCTCCAATGCTTTTTCTTCCCAACTCTATTTCTCGTTCTATTTAAAGTTTTAAACCCATAGTAAAAAAGTCAATAAATTTTGAGATAAAATTGTCTTCTTTTTTTTTTTCTCTCTTTATTATCCTTTTCAGTTTATTATTTTATATTTCTTTGTCTTTCTCCTTTTTTAACTCTTTTTCCTTTTTAGCCCTTGACACTTTCTCTCTCTATTTGCCCTCTCTTACGTTCTCTCTCTAACTCTCTCCACTCTCTCTCTTATCTTTCTCTGACTCTCTCCACTCGTCCTCCCTCTCTCTCCTACAAATTGCAGTAACTTCTCCCTGCCATATTATGCAGTGTGGCAAGGAGTGTGTAGGAACGCACAAATCCCAGTGACTTCTCCCCTAGCCATATTGCTATCCCGAAGAGGTATTGGGAGGTCGAGAGTGTCTAAATTTTGGGTTCTAATTTTGTTAAATTAGCAGAGGCATTGGGAAGTTGAGAGTGTGTAATTTTTGGGGTTGTATGTGATGGAGACGTAGGATCGTAGCCATCGTAAATGAGGTGGAACGAGGTTCAAAGCCTGCATGTACAGGAACAGAAATGGGAAAGGTTTTTGATATTAAAATTTTAGAGAGAGAAATTATATCAAAATTTTGAGGGAGAAAATACATGAAAGTTTTTAGAGAGAGAATACATGAAATTCTTAAAAAGGGAAACTACATCAAATTTAAAGATTTAGAGAGAGCATCTTAAAATTTTAGAAAGAAAAACTATAATATTAAGTTTTAGAGTGAAAAAGTATATTAAAATTTTAGAGAGAGAAATTACATCAAATTTTAGAGAGAGGAATCACTTAGAACTTTTTTAGAGAGAAATATATCAAACTTTTAGAGAGAAAAATTAGTTTTAGAGAGAGAAAATATCTTAAAATTTTAGAGAGATGAACTACATTAAAATTTAAAGAGATAAACTACTTAAAATTTTTTAGAGAGAACTATCTTAAAATTTTTAGAAAGAGAAACTATCTCAAATTTTAAATTTTAGAGAGAGGGAGAGAGAGAGATTATTAAAATTTTAGAGATAGGAAAGAGATTATCAAATTTTAAAAAGAGAAAGTATCCAGATTAAATGGTTAGGGACTAATTTGATCTAAATTAGACGAGTGGATGAAGGGGAAGCATATATCTTTTGTGAAGTAGGGAGCATATAAACCTTTGCCCTCTATGTTTTCTTATATGTTTGATCACATCTCTCTCTTGATCAGGACTAGTGGTACCCAATGAAAATGATAAAAACAGTAGGGCAAGCTTTCTATGCTTCCTCTATAGTAAAGAAGTTCCATCTTACCCCTTATCCAACCGTTCATTCTGAATAGAGGGCTAAAATTGTCCCAATCACAATGTCACGTCTCTACACTACTTTATTTTTAGTTTTTTTTTTATAAACTATTTTGACACTAAAATTTAGAAGTCTATTCCTCTATTAAACCTGCACTAGCGAAAAATATAAAAAAAAATATTTTCAATAAAATAAAATGACCAAAGTACCTTTGAAAACTTTAAGGGGTATTTTGGTCATTATATTTTATCGAAAAATTATTTTAAATATTTTTTATAGGTGCACTCCAATGAAAAGATGGCATGTACCAAATTTCATATTTATACAATTGTATAAAAAAATTAAAAATAAAATATTTTGAGATGTCGGATCTAAAATCAAACGATGAATGTCTCTCTTGATTAAAATTAGACGGCTGGATGGTAGGAGGATGATAGAACTTCTATGTTGTAAAAAAAACATATAAATCTTTCCCAAAACATAAAGGAAAAAACAAAAAGAAGTACACTTCAAGACACTTGCCTCACTGAAAATAAAATGGAAACGTAATACATATTTTGAACCAGCAGGAATATACTGTATGTTTACTCCCTTAGTTTGAAGACCTAATATTTTGTACCAGCAGGAACATACTGTACATTTACCCCCTTAGTTTGAAGACCTATTTGGTATAAATCTTTTTAATAAACCCTTATAACATTAAGAAAAAAAACTTGGGCTTAATTGGTTAAGGCTTGGTGCTTTGCAATGCTACATTCTAAACTCATTTCTCACCATGGATAGGGGCCCTTTCCCCCGATGACTCACCCAAAACAAAATAAAACCCTTATAGCATTAGATTCACACGATACAATCATTTTTCATAAAACGCTTTAACCACCAAACGAACCCCACCAGCTGTCTTATTGAAGCGTTGCAGGTGGTTTTATTGAAGTGCTCAGGTGGTTAGAGGCCCCACCAGCTGTCTTAATGAAGCGTTGCAGGTGGTTTTATTGACGTGCTCAGGCGGTTAGATGCCATGCTATTGCACAGTTTTATTGTTAGAACTATTACTTTTAATTTTTAAAATTTATTTATTTTTTTAAATTCATGATATAAGTACTAGAGATTACATATCCTTAAAAATTAAATCTTAAAATTCACCTAAAAATTAGACTTATTAAGGGGGCCGTATTTCTACATATGCGGGTTTTGCCGCATAAAAACAGGGTCCCTCTAAATATTACTGTACTTCACTTTTAAATTAGGGATTTTCATTTGGTGGTTAGTCCCTCTTAAGTTGTTTTTGTTTGTTTGTTTTTGTCTTTCTTGCGTTGATTCACGTACCCTGTCTTTTTTCTAAACACAAACAGAAATCAAATCAACTTGGTTCTATTCCGCACTGCGACATTTTACCTACTTCTATTAATTGAATATTAAGTCCACATTACCCAACCGCCATTCTATTAATTGAATAGTAAGTCCACACTACCCAATAACTCAAAAAAAAATAAAAAAATTTATATCATATTATTAAACCTTTTGCGCCCACTCCAGTTGATATTTTTACCTAAGACGTTCCTATTTAAACCACATTTCTCTCCCAAAATGTGACGTCCAGCATGTACTAGCCCGACACAAAAAAAGTGTCTGGCTGGCGTCCTATCTTTATAATATGCTGACATGCCACATAATGTATTAAGCCAACTTTTGAAAAAATGCGTTGGTTTGATAGAAATTATGCTACATTGGCTTTTGCTATTAAAATTCTAACAATCCAGTGCAAAATGCATTGGACCAGCTCATAATGATAATATGTGGGATCATCTTCTGTATTCAAGTTGTGTTGGTCCTGGCTTGGAGAGCACAAGTGACAGAACAAGAGAAATATGGGTTAACTAAGTGTATTTTGATAAAAAAAATAATTTTTTTAACTTGGGGATGTGGTCCTTCCCCTAAGTCTATGAAGTGAACATTAAGTTCACACCTTTTTTTTTTTTTCTCTTTAATTATATGCCACTTGCCGTTATGCACATTGACATGGTCTCCTTCTTCTCTCTATATAGGTAACAGCTCAAAGTCCAGATGCATCACAAAAAGTGAAAGGAAAACACAATTATTTAAACGTCCAGCAGCCTTAGGGGAAAGACCATCATCACCCCGCACTCATAACTCAGTAGTCGATCTCCCTCTCTCTCTCTCTCTCTCTCTCAAACACACTTTCCTTTCATCTCTCTCTCTCTCTCAAACACACTATCCTTTCGTCTCTCTCTCTCTCTCCCTCTTTGCTGGTTACTGCAATAAGTCTCGCTCAACAGCCCCATCAGCCATCCATCTTTCCTTAAACATCAGCCTCATATGCCATTCTACTTCCTTTTGTAACACAGTCAATACACCTGCTCCATCTACCATCTACTTTCTTTTGATACTTAGTCTAGCAATTCTCTAAAAGCATCAGCTATCCCTCTCTCCCTCTCTCTCTCTCTATGGCTTCCATAATAGGTCCAATTGAAGGTGCAATTGTAAACGTTGTTGGTAAATTTGTAGTTGATCCTCTTCATCTGCGATGTAATTACTCAGTGCACCTCGAGGAAAATGTTGAGACTCTGGTAAGAGCCACAAACAATCTAAAGGCGATGAGGGATAACAAACAACACGATATTGATGCAGCAGAGATTAATGGCTGAGTCCCCACTCCTGAAGCTACGAATTGGCTAACAGCGGTCAGTGTAATTGAAGCAAAAGTAGCTGCAATAGAAGAGGAGTACAGAAACAGAAAGACATGTTTAAGAGGTTTGTGTATAGATTGTCCGTCACGCTATCGTCTGAGCGAGAGAGCTCTGAAACTCAAGAGAGAGGTTGATCAAAGGCTTGCAGCACAATTTGAATTGACAAGAGCACCTCCTCCGGTAAGCGTGGAAGAGATGGAGGCCCCAACCGTAGAAGACCAAAGGTATTCGATGGCATAAATGACAAAAGTTACAGCATCATCGGAGTCTATGGCATTGGGGGTGTTGGCAAAACAACTCTGCTCATGAATATCAATAATCGCTTCAAAGAGCAGCCTTCTTTTGACACAGTTATAGTGGTTACAGTGTCTGCCACTACAAATATATTGAATATCCAAAAGAAGATTGGCAAACGCCTCGGATTGGACTTGTCGAGTTGCGGTGAGGAGGATTCAAAAGATAAGTTGTTGGGTGCTCTAAGGAGGAAGAAGTATCTATGGCATGAACTGAAACTCGAGAGCATAGGAATCCCTCGACCCAAAAATGAGAGTGGGTGTAAAATTTTGGTAAGCAGCCGAAATCAAGATGTATGTACTGACACAGGGGCAGAATTCATAATAGAAGTGAAGAAATTATCAGAGGCGGAAGCTTGGAGACTATTCATTAAAAGAGCTGGTGGGAATGTTACTTCACCTTCAATAAAACCCCATGCTGGAACTCTACTTAAAAAATGTGAGGGCCCGCCCTTAGCCATAAACACTGTTGCGCATGCTATGGAAAACCGACACACAATAGGGGAGGGGAATGGGAGGGTGCCGTTAGAGAATTGAACCAGTCAGCTGCAAGCCTACGAGGTATGAAGGAAAAAGTACTTGATTGTTTAAAGTTCAGTTATGATAGACTAGAGAGTGATATGCACGAGTCTCTCTTCCTTTTTTGTGCTTTATTTCCTGAGAACTGTTCAATACACCGATATGAATTAGCAGTTCTATGCATCGGAGAAGGATTAGTGGACAGGCTAGGCAGCTTGAGAGCCACTCACAATAAAGTTGCTACCTTGGTCGGGAGTCTCAAAAGCTCATGTATGCTAGAAAATGGGGAAGAAGAGGGCGAGGTGAGAATGCATGATATAATCCGTGAGCTAGCAACTGTGGATCACCTCTCCTGAGACCAAAAGTTCTTGGTGCGAGAGGGAGCTTCATTGAGGGAGGCACCAGATGCTACTGAGTGGGAAGCAGTAGACAGAATTTCATTATCAGAAAATGAGCTAGAGTTTCTCCCTGAATTGTCACAGGGCAACAACAACGAAACTCTTGCGGCCATCCCATCCCAACAAGTAGTTTCTTTGAATGCGTGGGACGCCTTCGTGTGCTTGATCTTAGTTGTACACGGATTGAATCTCTTCCGTCTTCTCTTCCCTATCACATTTAGTGGATCTCCGTGTGCTCATATTAAGAGGATGCAGTTGCCTGCAAGAATTACCACCAATTGGAGGGCTCCAACAACTCCAGGTTTTGGACCTTTGGTGTTGTAAAAATTTGAAAACGATGCCTGATGGTATGGGAGATATAAGTAAGCTAAGATACTTGAATTTAAGTGTAACACGGTTTGAAATTCACAAAGGGCATGGCGCCACATTTCAACAACTTGGTGTACATAAATGTTAAAAGATGTGAAGGATTGGAGGAGGTTATTGAAGAAGACAACAACAATGATGGACCATCACCATTATCATTAACTCTATCCAAGTTAATAACATTGCGGTTCAAACCTCTACCGCTGCTCTGCTGAGCAGTATATGCGGCAAATGTGTGTTGTTTTGCCCACTGATTTATCATGTGATGATAGAGGAATGCCCGCAACTAGAGAAAGAGCCACTTGATGTCTACAGTGCAAATGGGGCACTTGTAATCAAAGGAGACAAGTGGGAAGGTGAGGTTGTTCAGAGGGAGTCATGATTTGATGAGGCAGGCGACCAAAATGATGGTGCAGATTCTCACTCTTATTTTTGTTGAAGAAAATGGCTCTCTCTTTCTGTCGCGCCATTTTTTATAGTAAATGATGGGCACTATCTCTCACTCTCTCTCTGTTGACCAGGACTACTTTATCTATTTAAGCAAACCTATCCAATAACTCTCTCGATCTCTCCACCTCATTTTTTATGAGAAATAAGGGACATATATTTCTTGATTTATCCTAATTATTGATTTTTTCCCCAAAAAAAAAAAATTACATATATTGTTTATCATTTACCTTTAAAAGGGTTTCTAGAGAGAGGAAGTCTTTTCTTTATAATGGTCACTTTGCGCATAAAATTCATCAGTTTTGCACTGCAATGCTATTTGAAGATTCAACTAAAAAAAACTTCGAACTACACCAAATCTTCAAATGCCTTGTTATATGCATATTGAAATTTATTTCATGAATTTTTGCAAACTAGCTATTCTAACCATGAGTTTTTCTTTCTAAACTCATTGGGTCCCCGAAGTCGATTTTCTGGAATAAAGGAATGCACCTCTCTCTCTCACACACACAATTAAACTCCTATTCTTTGGTGTTTGAAAACTTTGCTAAAGGGACAAGCATTTCTTTAGGGGTGTGGTTGCACCATAACGGGTTTCACCGTTGTCTTTATATTATGCATAATTTATGAAAATGAGGTTTTCACAATTTTAAAGTTAGTCTTAATTTGAAGTTAAATAGAATAAAAACATTAAAATTGTGCTGTAGAGATTTTTCTCCTTTTCTTTTTTTCCCTTGATATCCTCTTATTTGCGCCTTTGGGGTTCTTATTTTGTTGCCGTTGTTATTGACTCTTTTTCCTTCTAAATTTTTTGCAAATTTGATTAAAGCCGTTGAGCCTTTGTGTTATTAGAGGCATTTTCATGTTCGAAGCTTGGTTTATACTGCTTTACTTTGGTAAGATAAATTTATCAACAGCTATAGGATGAGACCATTTCTAGCCATGAAACGTGCAATCAGATTGGCTAAGGCCGTGCCATTGATTATGCACAAGGCACCAACTAACTTATTTATTTTTTTATTTATCTAAATTGAATCTTTTTTTTTTTTCAGGTTGGTGCAATGGCCCATGGAAAGTTACTGCAGATTCCATTCATGATTTTTATATCCTCGTAAGTCACCTTTTCCAATAAAAAGAATTCCTTTATTTTTGGCTTGTCATGGAGCTCTATTCGCAATATATATATATATAAATAAAGCGTTTGTCTAGAGTTAACAACCCATCAAAATAAAGTTCAAATTAGAAGGGGGTGGTGATGGGTGTATTTATCAAAACAATGATTATTTTTTATTAAAAAATTATTTAAATAAGTAACTTTACCATTAAACAAAGATAAATTTGAAATGGTCATAAAAATACAATCGCATTTTAGAAGTTAGTATCCCGAAACTTTATTTATAAAGTGCCCTTGTCCTTTAATGAAAATTTCAATTTTATCTCTTATGGAGATAGCAAAAGTACTTTTTCTCTTGTAGTAATATTTACAAAATTGCCCTACAAAATTAATTTTTTGTGAAGTTTAGATTATCCCATATATATATATATATATAAAGAGAGAGAGAGCCGAGGCTTTAAACAATCAAATTAGAACCCACCTCAAATATTTTACTAGAATAGGTTGTTTTGATTCCCAAATATCTTCAAATTGATCATCTTAACATCAAGATGCATAGACACGGGAAAAAATGATTTCTAATTTTTTAGGAAATAATGACATCATAGTAACACTATTTTTAGGACCGTTTAATTTTCTAAAATTTTCTAAGTTTTTA